AACTACCAAGTCTCTGTTGAACCGCCATTGGGTTCATCAGATCATTGTGTGGTCCGGAGCATTGTGCCGTTCACGCGCCCTCTTCGGCCTAGCTTCACGGGCTGTCGCCGCGTGTGGCACTATAAGTCAGCAGATTGGGATGGGATGCGGTCTTTTTTGCGTCCTACCCTTGGGGGCCCATTTGCTTTTCGTCGAGTACTCCAGATGCCGTCGCTGACTCTGTCGCCGAGGTGGTCCTGCAGGGTATGGAACTCTTTATTCCATTTGTACGATTTACAACCGTACAGGTATTGCAATGTAAATGACACCATGCAAAATGATTTGCTTGTGTGTTCATTTCCATTATATCTTATTATTTCAGTTAAGTTAGTTCTCATTTAGACCTCGTACCGGGCGCGACTCTTAATCTCATCTCACCCCACTAGTTTAGTCCATTGCTCATAAAATAAATAATTATCCCTTTAAATATCTTAATAATTTATCCCAACCCCGAACATTGGTCCTTCGAGCCATTAGTCGTATTTTTGGCAGGATCAGGACGCGTGTGCTTTCGCAATATTGTTTTGCTTAGTGTGTGTGTTATACTGATACCTGCGTATCAAAAGAATACATCTAGAACTACGATTTATGGATACACCTCTTTTATCCTAATCACATTGCCTAAGAAAGGCAATATACCTCAACATTTGTACACCTCGTGACCTCGGTGCCTTAGGAAGGCACTACATCTCTTCACCTCGTAACCTCGGTGCCCTAGGAAAGCACTACATCTCTTCACCTCGTAACCTCGGTGCCCTAGGAAAGCACTACATCTCTTTACCTCGTGACCTCGGTGCCTTAGGAAGGCACACTACATCTCTTCACCTCGTGACCTCGGTGCCTTAGGAAGGCACACTACATCTCTTCACCTCGTGACCTCGGTGCCTTAGGAAAGCACTACATCTCTTTACCTCGTGACCACGGTGCCTTAGGAAGGCACACTACATCTCTTCACTTCGTGACCTCGGTGCCCTAGGAAGGCACTACATCTCTTTACCTCGTGACTTCGGTGCCTCAGGAAGGCACACTACATCTCGGATTCAGTACAACCTTGCAGGTATTGCGAGGATATCTTGAGCAACTTATCAGCTGAACAAGTAAGGTTATATTGTTATCTCTGATAATCATTAATTATGTCCACAATGGAAGATATTTTAGCTACCCAACAGCAGTTGGTGGACGCAGTGGATAAGCTTTATATCAACTTTAAGAAGGATGGAGCGGAGCGAAAGACTCCCGATTATATACGTCGTCGTTTAGAAACGTTAGAACAATATTTTACAGATATTCATAATAACCATATGACACTTTTATCTTTTAGTGATCAGTCTCATGAATATTTTACTTTTAATAAATACGAGCAGATTAAGAAAAAATATGGTAATATTAAGACAACTTTAAGAAATTATAAGCCTTTGGCAAGCATTACAAAATCCCCTGAATTACAACCTCCAACGTTTCAAGCCCCGTCTACCTCTAACGCATCGACCTCCAATGAATCTCAGGAAATATCTCTCAAAAATAACTCTAATATGAGTAAAACAGAAGAGCTCATGAGAAAACAAACTACAAATTTTAAAGCTTTTCTAAGAACTGCCTCGAGTATAGAACTTGACCTTATCTCGGAAAAGTGGGAGTTAGAAGACATCCTAAAGACCTTGCAAGTCCGTTGGACTGCAATTGATAGCTTACATTGGGAGTTGGACAATGAACTTTGTGGTTCCAACCGAGAATATGAAGAGCAATTTACAAATTACGAAAAATATTACATTAAAGTTAAGAAGGATATCAATAAAAAGATGTGGTCGGTATCACACATCGAGAAAACAACCCCTAAAATGGAGTTACCAACCTTCGAGGGAAATTATAACCAATGGGTTTCCTTCAAAGATCTCTTTACGGAAACTATTCATAGTAACCCATCTCTTTCAAATGCGCAGAAATTACAATTTCTCAAAAGTAAGGTTAAGGGTGAACCTGAGAAGTTGATTCAACATCTCCAGGTAAGCTCAGATAATTATCTCATTAGCTGAAATATTCTCAGTCATCGCTATGATAATAAGCGTCTAATCTTTACATCTCACCTTAACAATCTCTTAAATATTCCTAATATTCAATACCAGTCGTATAATCATATCAAACGCATTCACGATGTTACAAACGAGAGTATAAATGCGATAGAAAATCTTGGAATTAATGTTTCTTCCTGGGATCCCTTCCTTGTATGTATATTGTCTCAGAAGTTAGACGCAGACACGTACAATGAATATATACAGTCTTTGAAATCGCCGAGAGAATTACCCGTATTACAAGATTTTTTGCAGTTTTTAGAAACTAAGTTTATGACCCTAGAAACTTCACGGAAGAAGCAAGAAAATCACACCCCAAAAGTGTCATATCATAACTTCAATCAATATAAACCTTCAAAAAATTTAAATAATCAATCATCATCTTCGAAAAATTTTAATCATAACTTTAGACAAAGTTATAATAATCCTAAGTATACTTATTCTACAAATCAGGTTATTTCGCAACCGACACATTCCAGTAATAAAATTATTGAAAAACGCAAGCTGTGTCCGGTGTGTAATTCAAGCGATCATCGTATACATTTATGCCAAAAATTATTAAATATGCAGCCTATCGCACGAAGAAATGCTATTGCAAAATTGAACCTTTGTATCAACTGTTTACATTATCATGAAGGTAAAAAATGCCTTTCGCAATTAATGTGCAAGGAATGTAATAAAAATCATAATACAATTTTACATGAATGTTTTACAAAAGATAATATGACACCGGACGTTTCACGATCTAGGTTACACGTGCCCCGGGTTGTGAAACATTTACCTCAACAACAAGAAATTAACACATTAGTATCTCTTCCAAGTGACCCTGCCGAAATATTACTTGCCACTGTCATTATTAAGATACAGGCAGCGGATGGATCTTATAAAAATATGAGAGCTCTTTTAGATCAGGGCTCACAAATCTCAATTATCAGTGAAAATGCTGCTCAATTATTAAAAATACCTCGACAAAAATGTAATGGTTACATTTCTGGGATAGGAAATACAGAAAACAATTGCAAGGGCAAAATCTCTATCAAGTGTTTATCGATAGTCAATGATTATACCTTTAACACGGATGTATTTATTATGAAAAAACTTGTAAGGAACTTACCGAGCTATACCCTGCCAAAACCAAATTGGCCTGAGCTTAATCATATAAAATTAGCTGATTCAGAATTTTATAAAAGTAGCCCTATTGATATATTATTCGGCGCTGATGTTTATTCTGATATTATCTTGGACGGTATTTGTAGATTTCAAGAAAGGTTTCCGATTGCGCAACAAACGCAGTTGGGATGGATAATAACCGGTAATTATAAAACCTATCAGTGTAATATAATCCTTAATAACGATATCCAAAGGTTTTGGGAAGTGGAAGATATTCATGAACCCTTAAATATGTCACAGGAAGATCAAAATTGTATAGAGTTTTTTCAGAATACAACCTCAAGACGTGACGACGGCAGTTACGTTGTGAAAATACCTTTTAAAGAAAATCTCGAGGAAAAATTGGGCGAATCGAAGTCAAAGTCTATCGCTCAATTTATTCAATTGGAAAATAAACTTATTAAAAAACCTTATTTAGCTCGTGATTATAAATTATTTATATCGGAGTACAGAGAGCTCGGACACATGATACCCGTTGTGTCACGCGCCGCCGTAGAGTCGGGTTGCTACTTATCGCACCATTGTGTACAACGAGCGGAATCATCAACTACGAAATTGCGAGTTGTTTTTAATGCCTCTTGATGATCTTATGTGTAGGGGGCCAAATCTACAACAAGACCTTCAAACACTAATCTTAAAATGGCGACAATTTAAATATGGTTTTACAGCCGACATAGAGAAAATGTTTCGCAATATTTGGCTTCATTCAGAACATCAAAAATTCCAGAAGATTATTTGGAGAGATGATCAATCCCAACCCTTAGGTGAATTTCAGCTAGCCACTGTAACTTATGGAACTAAGGCCGCACCTTTCTTGGCCATGATGATCCTGAAAAGACTTGCAATCGATGAACGTTCAAATTATCCTTCCAGTATCGCACCTGCTGTGTTAGAAAGCTCATTTTACATGGACGATCTGTTGCATGGGACTCACTCTGCACAAACAGCAATAGAGCTGAAGAACGATTTAATTAAACTACTTAAATCTGGAGGTTTCAATCTTAGAAAATGGCGTTCAAACTTACCTCTCCTTTTAGAAGACATGAACGATTCCGAAAAAGAATTCGACTTTAAGCACCAGGAGTCAACTAAAACTTTAGGCCTTCGTTGGAATCCCAATACCGACGAATTTATCTTTTATCCTATTAATTATATCCCAAATATTACCCCTACTAAGCGACAATTATTGTCCGAAATCTCAAAAATTTATGACCCTTTGGGCTGGCTAGTACCAGTCACTACAAAACTTAAAATTTTATTTCAAGAAACTTGGAAGTCTGATCTAGGATGGGATCAGCCGATACCTCATAAATTAGTCTTAGAATGGACTAAAATAAAAGTCGACATATCCTATATATCGCAATTTAAAATACCTCGATGGTTACAAACACAGGAAAATGACATAGTGGAGCTCCATGGTTTTTGCGATGCTAGTACAAAAGCTTACGCATGTGTTGTTTATTGTAGAATACGAAGAAAAGATACAACACATGTCACCATTGTAGCGGCTAAATCCAAAGTAGTTCCTATAAAAAGACCTTATCCATACCCCGTTTGGAACTTTGCGGAGCTTTGTTGTTAGCTAAATTAATGAAAAATATTGTCGAATCCCTATCTAATTTCAGAGTGCATGTTTACGGTTGGGTCGATTCTATGGCAGTCCTAGGATGGATAAATGGCGAACCCGAAAAATGGAAACCCTTTGTTGCAAACCGTGTCAGAATGATTTGTGAAATAATCCCAAAAAATATGTGGAGATATATTAATTCCTCGGAAAACCCGGCTGATTGTGCAAGTCGTGGGTCGACAGCTCTTCACTTGACGAGTCTTTCGCTTTGGTGGCACGGGCCTGAATGGTTATCTCAATGTAATCTCAAAGAGCATTCTGAAAAGCCTACATATACTACAGATATAGATCTGAAAAAGAAAAACCTGGTTAATACAATAACCACCAATCCCAATTATATAATACAACAGTTATTGGATAAATATAGCTCTTTTAGAAAACTTATAAGAATTTTAGCCTATATTATAAAATTTATCGACAAGATTATTTATAAAAAAACGTTTGAAAATAATTATCTTAGTTTTAAAGATTTGAGTAATGCGAGAGAAATGATAATTAGACATGTTCAGAAAGAATATTTTTTTCAGGAAATATCTGAACTTTCTGTCGCTAAGGTTTTAAATAAAAAGAGTCAAATACTAAATCTTAACCCCGTTTTAGACTCAACTGGATTGCTCCGAGTCGGTGGACGGCTGAAAAACTCAAACATCGATCCTGAAATGAAATATCCTATAATTATTCCATCACAATCGAAGTTAGCTGAGCTTATTATAGACGAAGCCCACGAACTTGTATTTCATGGTGGGGCTAAATTAACCGCAGGTTTTATACGACAAAAATACTGGATCCTTAGAGGAAATAGTGCTGTCAAAAAGAGATTACGATCATGTGTAAAATGTAAAAAAGTTGATCCTACATTACAACATCAACTTATGGGCGATTTACCCCCTTCTCGAGTTACACCTAGCCGACCTTTTCATAGTACGGGGATTGATTTTACGGGACATGTTTTAGTCAAGGCAAACAAAGGCCGTGGAATCAAAACAACAAAAGGATACGTAGCAGTCTTTATATGTATGGTCACAAAAGCTGTGCATTTAGAATTAGTATCAGATCTTACCACGACAGCTTTTATCTCTGCGTTGCGGCGAATGTCAGCTAGAAGAGGGGTTCCGCGACATATTTTTAGCGATCAAGGAACAAACTTCATAGGTGCCAACAATATACTACGACAAGAGTATACACAGATCTCAGAAATCCTATCAAGTCCTGAGTGTACCTCAGTTATATCAGAAATGAATATAGATTGGCATTTCAACGCCCCATCGTGGCCTTCAGCGGGTGGACTTTGGGAGGCTGCTGTAAAAAAGCCTTAAACATCATCTTAAACGAGTGGTTGGCGAACAAAAACTCACCTTTGAAGAATATTCAACTCTTTTATCTCAGCTCGAGGCTTGTTTGAACTCTCGACCTCTTTGTCCGTTGACAGAAGACCCCGAGAACCTAGACTTTTTAACACCGGCACATTTCCTAGCAAGCGGTCCTAACTTGACCATTTTTGAGACAGAAAATGATCTTAGAACTCGATGGCACTTAACTCAGAAAATCTATCATGATATTTGGGTCAAATGGAAGAATGAATATCTCTCACAATTATCTATTAGATCCAAGTGGAAACGACCTCAAAAAGATCTCAACTTAAACGATATAGTCATCATAAAAGATGAAAATCTTCCGCCCGGTAAATGGGCTTTAGGGCGTGTTGTAGAGCTACATCCCGGAAGTGACGGGCTGGTGAGAGTCGTCACTCTTAAAACCAAGAACGGTTTTATTAAACGCCCAGTCGTTAAGTTATCTCTTCTACCTACAAATAATAATAATCAATCTTTAAACCATGACAAGGTCGATGAAAAGAAGCCTAAAGCGAAGAAGTTCAGCGGCATCTCTTTCTGTGCTATGGTTTTATCCCTAACATTATTTTTCCTCTCAATACTGAGTTCGTGCCAAGCTCAGTTTAGTTATACACCATTGAATAACAACAGTATTTATTTTGATAAAATAACTAACATGCGTATAGTTAGAGACGATTGGCGTTTAATTGTTTATTATGATACATATCCCTATCAAGAAGGTACGGCCGCACTCATGAAAGACATTCAGTATCTCAAAACAATATGCTCTATGATAAAGGAACAACTGACACATTGCGACGGTATCACGTTACAGCTCGAGCACGAGTTCGATGAAATGAAACATTATAATGATATTGTAATTATGAGTAACTCGTTTGATACGGGAGCTAAGCGCCAACGTCGTGGTTTGATAGACGGAGTAGGTTATGTTGCTAATAGTTTATTTGGATTATTAGATCATAGGTTTGCAGAAAAATATGAAAAAGATATCGATCTTTTAAGAGAGAATGAAAATCATTTATTTAAATTGTGGAAAAATCAAACTTCAGTCGTGGAAGCTGAATTAAATCTTATGAAAAGAATGGAAAGTACAATGACTAAACAACATAAAATAGTCAATCAAAAACTTAATAACCTTGAGAACTCAAACCTTATTCTTAAACAAAAAATACAAAACGCATCTTTTATCTCGGATTTTATAACCTCGGCATTTATAACTAACAACTTATTATATAATCTCAGAAGAATACAAGACTTTATATTAGATACAGTAACGAATATTTACAGTGGTAAATTAGATTTCCATTTGATATCTCCAAAACAGCTGAGGTCAGAATTAAATTTGATATCTGCACAACTACCCAGTGATTTGGCGTTGCCGGTTGACAATTTCCACTTTCAAGATATTTATAGTTTATTAAAAGTTAAAACAAAGAACACTAAAAAATATTTAATAATAGAAATAAGAATACCCTTGGTGGAAAGAAATATTTATGAAATCTTTAATCTCATTTCAATCCCACGTATCTCAAACGGCAGTATGGAGACAGTGATTCCAACCTCTAATTTAGTGGGTATCAATATACAAAAGGACTCGTACATAACAATCTCGGAAAGCGATTTTCAATCATGTCTAAATCAGAACCCTACAACTATGTTTTGTCATATTAGAAATCCTATTCGGCACTTAAAAGATGACCATGATTTATGTAAGACGATTCCTAATACAAGAATTTGTCAAACAACTTTTTCACCATGTAGGAATCATTGGCGGGAATTATCATCCCCGAATAAATATTATTCTTTTTGTTGTAAAGAATGCAACATAAAATTACTCTGCGAACGTCAAATTAAATCAACAAAGGTATCGAATGCGGGTTTGTTGAGCGTTATGGAGGGTTGTATAATAAAAACCAAAGATTTTCAGGTCTATTCTCATAAAAGGTTGTCCAGTAACATAAGTATTAGTTCAGAATTTGAGGCATTAGAAATGTCGCCAATAAATAACATTATTAATATATCCATCTCAAAATTGCAAACTCATGATCTTGATTCGAATAGCTCAGAAGACATTCGACAATTTGAAGAAATAAAAAGAAACATTGAAATCTTGAAACAGAGCGAAACATTAAGCACCAAGATATCCTACCATGATGTTCACCATTATTTTATTATATATGTTTTAATCGCGATCCTGGTTGTTCTGGCAATAATTGCCTATTGGAGACGGTTGCGTCGACGAGCTTCTGCAGAGCCGGCGGTGGAGGCTGTGACCAGGAGTATAGAAGCCACATCTCTGCCATCTCCACAACCCGTGAAAAGTGATAGTGTTGTGAGTGAGTGTGAAATTAGGGAAAAAAGGCATTCTTATCGCAATAATAAAAGTGTTTTTAAGAGTAATTTAAATTCAAAAAGTCAATCAAGTGAAAGTGTAAATAAACAAGATCGAGCTTCCTCGCCGATCTTTCGTGTGTTTTCCCTTCCGGAGTTAAATATAAGTGAATCTTTGTAGCTAATATGATAAATGTAATTCGTTTTCTCACCCACAACTAATCATAACATATAGTAAACACTATATAAACATTTAATATTAAAATTTGTGTATCACCTTGTTAGTCTTAAGTTCATCCTCCATTTTACTAACCCTCATCTTTTCCTCCCCCGGGAACATGTACGATTTACAACCGTACAGGTATTGCAATGTAAATGACACCATGCAAAATGATTTGCTTGTGTGTTCATTTCCATTATATCTTATTATTTCAGTTAAGTTAGTTCGCATTTAGACCTCGTACCGGGCGCGACTCTTAATCTCATCTCACCCCACTAGTTTAGTCCATTGCTCATAAAATAAATAATTATCCCTTTAAATATCTTAATAATTTATCCCAACCCCGAACACCATTCTCTGCGGTGCCGGTCGGTGGCAAGTCCCAGCCTTGGTTTAGGCGTTCTTGCAAAGCGGCTTTGCGCCGTAAGCGTGAATGCTTTAAAGCCTGGGCAGTAGCGGTGACATCCTGTGATGTGACTATCGGCGAACGTAAAAAAGCATACAATTCAGCCTCCAGGTCCTTCAAGCGAGAAATCGCTAAAGCAAAGTCAGAGCACATTGCCAGATTTGGTGAGAAATTGGCCCACCTCCCTTCGGGAACTCGAGCCTTCTGGTCTCTTGCCAAAGCTGTCCAAGGGAATTTATGTCTGCCCTTAATTCCACCACTGCATAGGGAGGATGACTCACTGGCCCATACCGCGAAAGAGAAGGCCGATCTTCTAGGCTGTCTCTTTGCGTCGAACTCCACTTTGGATGATCAAGGGAAGGAACCACCGACATTATTGCGGTGTGATACTACGATGCCCGAAGTTATATTCCGGCAACGTGCTATCCGTAAAGCTTTGTCTTCCTTGGACATCCATAAGTCGAGCGGGCCCGATGGCATCCCTCCAATTGTGCTGCGTACTTGTGCTCCTGAGTTGGCTCCGGTCCTAACGCGCCTTTTCCGGTACCTTTACACGCTCGGCACTGTTCCGAAGTGCTGGAAGATCGCTTCGATACATCCGATCCCTAAAAAAGGCGATCGCTCTGATCCGTCCAACTATCGCCCAATAGCTATAACCTCCTTGTTCTCCAAAATAATGGAAACCATTATTAACAGCCAGCTCCTGAGGTATCTAGAGGGCCACCAGCTGATTAGCGATTCTCAGTACGGCTTTCGTCGTGGTCGCTCAGCTGGTGACCTCCTTGTATATCTTACACATAGGGGGGCAGAGGCAATTGAGTCCAAGGGGGAGGCGCTGGCGGTAAGTTTGGACATAGCGAAAGCCTTCGATCGGGTGTGGCACAGAGCACTGCTCTCGAAGCTTCCAGCCTACGGGCTCCCTGAGAAATTATGCAACTGGATTTCCAGCTTTCTCGCTGATCGGAGCATCAAAGTCGTCATCGACGGAGCATGCTCCGACCTGAAACCTGTGAATGCTGGTGTCCCACAAGGCTGTGTCCTATCCCCGACCCTGTTTATTCTGCATATCAATGATATGTTGCAGCTTAGCAACATTCATTGCTATGCGGACGACAGCACTGGGGATACTTTTTACACTGGCCGGGCAGGTATTTCTCGGGCTGTTGTCGATGAGTACCGGAACAAACTTGTGTCTGAAGTCGAAACTCTTCTACGTGTGGGGTAAACTAAATCTAGTCCAATTTAACCCCAAGAAGACACAAGTATGCGCGTTTTCCGCTAAAAAAACTCCCTTTGTCGCTACTCCCCTTTTTGAAGACACTCTCCTTAAAGCCTCAGCTAGCATCGGAATACTGGGCGTTGACATATCGAATAACGTTCAGTTTCGCGGTCATCTGGAAGGAAAGGCTAAATTAGCCTCCAAAAAGCTTGGTGTGCTCAGCAAGGCGAGACGGTACTTCACTCCGGGCCACCGCTTGCAACTATATAAAGCGCAAATTCGGCCCCATATGGAGTACTGCTCTCACCTCTGGGCGGGAGCTCCCCAGTACCAGCTCCTTCCACTTGACCGTATTCAACGAAGAGCGGTTCGAATCGTCGACGACCAGTCACTTTCCGTGCGGCTTGATCCCTTGGCGCTGCGTAGAGATGTGGGATCTCTCTGCATCTTCTACCGCATTTACCATGGAGAGTGTTCAGAGGAGTTGTTCGGTCTAATACCTGCAGCTGAGTTTCATCATCGGACGTCAAGGCAAAATACAAAATACCATCCGTATCACCTCGACGTCCGTCGTTCCACAACAGAGCGTTTTCTAAGGCAGTTTTTGCCGCGCACCACCACTATGTGGAACCAGCTGCCCACAGAAGTATTTCCGAACCAATTCGACTTAGGGTCCTTCAAGAAAAGAGCGTACCAATTCTTGAAAGGCCGGCAACGCACTTGCGAGCCTTCTGGCATTGTGAGTGTCCATGGACGGCGGTATCACTTAACATCAGGTGAGCCTCCTGCCCGTTTGCCTCCTATCACATAAAAAAAAAAAAAAAAACTCCTCCGAAACGGCTTGACCGATTTTGATGAAATTTTTGTGCTTATCCGGTATCTATGAGAATCGGACAACATCTATTTTTATCCCCTAAATGTTAGGGGTAGTCCACCCCTAAATTTTATTTTTTCTTTTTTAGACAAAATTTTTAATTTCTATTTTTTTATGATACAACATTAAAAAATACCTACATACAACCCCTAACTTTCAGCCCTCTACGATCAACCTCTATTTTTTTATTATAAATGATATACATGGCAAAACGACGTTTGCCCGGTCAGCTAGTTACTTATAAAGTAACATTAAGTTTTATCACTGGGATTTTTATTGAAAAGGGGGAAAATGGGCAGGAGGCTCATCTGATGTTTAGTGATACTACCGCCCATGGAAATACATTGCTGTAAGAATTGATACGCTATTTTCTTGAAGGACCCAAAGTCGAATTGGTTCGTGCTAAAGTTCAACTTCAGTATTAAAATATAAAATATACGTTATGTACAATCCAAAAGAGCACTCACTAACACGTAGAGAATTTAATTTCCTACAAGATATCAAAAAAAGAAATATGAAACATAAAAATTTCCCGACGATTTACAATGAAAATAAAGAAAAAAGTTTTTTTTCAATGCATTTTAAATGGGAAAGGGGACCCTCCCCTGCGCCAGCTCAATTTTCAAGATATCAAGCTTATTTTTTAGGAGGTTTTTTTTGTCTAACAAAGAAGCTTTTTAGATATATTTACTCAAAAAGTCTAATATATATATATATATCAAGTATATTTCCTGAATCGTATCTTAATTCTTTATAGACTTTATTAACATTCTGATATTTCAAAGTTATTTTCGTTCCAATCTAAAGTCTACACTTTTCATCTACATCGATGGAGCCATTACTAACAAAGCCGTTCCCACATCAATGTGAATTTTTGAAAAGTCATAGCAAATATATTTGTGCTTCACAAGTTTATATGCAATATTCTTGCGAAATCTCACAAATACTTACCGACAGCCTTCAAGATGAACAGGGATGCATATTGGAAATTTTTATTAAAGGCGCCTGTTCGAGTGACAACCTGACAATAATCCCTGCATCACAGATAGCTCTTGATAAATATTGTATTGTTCGGATTTCATATTATCTATGGACTCACTACTGTAAACCTTCTATGAATATCACTATTCGCTGTTCATAAATCTGTAAGATTAGCTTTTAAGTTTTTAGTTTATATAATATACTCAAAGGCGTTCAGTGAGAATAAGTTCAGGGTCATCAGGGGTTGTGAAAAATAGAATATTTTTAACTTACTCTATATTTATCACTCGCGTAATACAATAGAATATGAGCGAAATAATAATTATGTTAATTGCTATATAATGAGTGCAATCTAACAATCAGAGAGAGTGCCGACGTCTGGCTATGCTCTCGGGGAGTGACTCCCATGATACAGTTAATTGTAATGAAACGATTGACTGCATAGTAACAGTCGAAGAGAGTGCCTGCGTCGGGCTATACTGTCGGGGCGTGACTCCGACGATTTAAGAAATCGTCATGCTTATAAGTGATCCAACTGTACAGCCAGGGCACGTACATACATAGGAAATAGTTATGTTTGAAGATGATTGGAATGTACGAGCCTTGGCACGTACGTAGGGAATTATCACGATTATAAAACTAAGGAAGCCTGAGCGAGCAAAATGTACAGCCTTGGCTCGTACACGGTCATTTTAGTTAGTTTACTAATTATTTAAATAAGTTTAGTAGATATCCAAATAGAAGCTAAGAATCAATGATTCACTCTAAAATATAAATGAAATTTCGTTGTAATGTCATTACAATATTTAATTATAACATTTTTATTAGTAATTGAAAGGTTATATTTGTATTTTAGCTAAATTACAAATGATAATTGTTTTTGGACTTAAAAAAACATAAAATAATTTTTCCTTCGTACAAAATATTTTTTCTAATTTCTTCGGCCAGTTAAAATTTAATTATGCACTCAGATAAAGATTTTCCATCGCATTAGCAATATGGGCTTATCGTGTACCTATAAAAATAATACTAAAAAATAATTACAAATTTAACAGTCTAGCAATGAGAGTGTCTACAATACTTTTATGTTGTTTTATAAATGTTGTTACTGGCAGAGACTTTTATGTGGGAATGTTTAAAAGGAATGATTTTTTAGTCGCCCAAGATAGATTGTATAAGGAGGGAGTGCCTTTCAGGAAAGTGTATGCGAAATATGGGAGAATTTTTAAGTGTCCCGTAAGTTTCCCTAATGTATTAGTAGGCGAGGGAGTATGATTAGTAGTTCAGAATCAGTCTTAAGGTGATTGAGACATGAGCGATAATTTATTTTCAACAGGTCTGTATCTGTTTTGTGATCATTTGTTATTCTACAAAAGTAGGTCTTCCGTGCTTGACACACAGCATCGACTTTTTAGGTGTCTAAGTCGTGCCAGTTTTATTGTGTTATTTTCCTTTACGAAGGCACTTTTTTTAATAAGGTGAAAATGCGCATACGCAGGCCCGCGCCATGGATGTCGAGCTTGACATTGTGGGTCTGGGTCTACACTCAAAGCCGTGAGACCCCACCCACTAAAAAACCTCTGCCCTTTACATGCCCTTAAGATAGGCCTTCGGGGTTCGCCAGGCATTCCACCCAAGGGATTTGAGCTTATTCTTCACATAGAGAGCTCAATCACGACTTGCGGTTTGGTTCAAGACCGAAACCCCAGTCTTGAACCACCGGTCAGTCTAGGGTCAACATCAGACCTCTCCCTCAATCGCCTCTGCAGCATCACATGCTCACAGACCATTGCACTCCAAGCCTCCTCACTTCCTAGCATAGCCAATACCGATGCCAGGTCATGAAGTTCTCTTGTCCAGGTTACACACTCAGCCAGAGTATTCTCCCCGCTCACAACGGCTGCACTAGGCACTTAATGCAGATACCGCCCAAAGCATCCATGCCCAGATTGTACCTGCGAAAGCCTAAAGGCAACGGCACCTCACCACGCTGAAAGCACTTGGCCAATACTGCTTTAGTTCTCATATACCAACTGATTATTCGCATATATCTATTTCAGATAACATACTTCAGAGTAGTCGACCGACTCGGCATAGGCCGTGGTCCTAAAATTGAGATTATCCGAGGGGGCTTACGTCATAAATACCTGGTCCTTCGTCTGCAATCCATCTACGGGTATCCCATATCCGTCAATGTCTACGTGGGTTGCGAAAACAAGATGCAATTAAAAACAATTAAGAAAACTTCCGTTGTTGCTACAACAATAAAAGCAATAACTACTGATGCTACTACAGACTTAGTAGAGAAACTTGGACCTGGTTCTGATGCTTCTGATACAAATTCAACTGCTGTTCCTACTACTATTGAATAAATTCATTTGTTTTTTAATCCTATTTAATAACGGTAAATTAGCAGCAATTTTTAAGATATCTATAAGTATTTGAGATAGGAAGGAGTTTTAGGATTAAACAGGATGGAATATAAGAGATGGAGAACATGAGCATCAGGTCGCTGACGAATGGGTAGCCAACCTACCCGCTTACGGGACGTAAGTTGTGTCGTTAGGGTCATAATTACTTAGGCCGAATATAAAACAGATACAGAAAGTAAGGAGATGATACAGTTTACTAAGCAATTCCTCGCTTAGGTCGAAAGACCAAAAATCGGCGTAGTAGTGGCAGGAGAGATTTTGCCAGTGAGGATTACTTACACAAATCCAAATTAATATTTGGAAACTTTAATTATCTTTGTGGACTAAACGACGCTGTAATAAAAACATAATATGGCTTCCATTAAAATACTAAAAGGATTTTTTAAATATATTTTTATATTCTCTGGATCTGATTCTCTGCAGGTAGATCTAATTTAACGACAAATTATAACAACACTTTTTTTTTTTCAAAGACAATTCACACCAATTGACCTAGTCCCATGCTAAGCTGGTGAAACTTGTGTTATGGGTACTAGGCAACGGATATACATACATATTATAGATAGATAGACATAATATAAATACATATTTAAACACCCAAGACCTAAGCACAACACCAAATGCTCATCACATCGATGTTCGATCCCCTGACTAGGGGTACTAACCACTAGACCAATGAGTCGGATAATATGGCTTCCATTTAAAATACTAAAAGGATTTTTTATATATTCTTATATTCTCTGGATCTGATTCTCTGCAGGTAGATCTAATTTAACGACTAATTATAAAAATCATTTATTAAGTTACCTTAGTAGTAGTATTATTTGGGGACGCCTATGGCGACAGACAACCTGACCAAAGTGTTTGCTAATAAATTATTATTATCGCTATCTAAATTAGATTTAAGATAATGCTGGTAAATAAGAGTAGCTTCTAAGTTTAAAAGGTCAGTGAATAAAGGGCTTTTATGTTTATTATTATTACAGTTTCATACAAAATATATTAGGAATGTTTAGTAAACTAGTAGTTTACCCTAGAGAACATCCGATTATATTAACATGTCCCGTCATATTCTTTAATGTTCCGCGCGGAATATAAAATTCCTTCAGATATTTCCAAGCTATTATGAGCTTAGATAGTTTGACATGTCACGTAGCGAAGATGTTTTATGAGAGAACTCCATTAGAGTGTCCTAAATACGTCTTAACAGTTTCACACTTTTAAGAGACGATTGCAAACTTTTTCATTACCCACAAAGAAGAGGACAGAAATGAAGGTAATTTAGAGAGCAATATTTGGCGAGACTTAGGACGCACTGTCACTTAATTCTGATGAATGTTAAAATCCATCCAAAAATTTTGTTCGGTTGAATACCTGCAGCAGAATTTCATCATCAGAAGTCGAGGCAGAATAAGAAATTCCACCCAAATCACCTCAACGGACGTTCCACGACTGAGCGCTTTTTAAGGCACTGTTTGCCGCGCACCACCTCTATGTGAACCCAGCTGCCTTCTAAATAATTTCCGAACCAATTTGACTTAGGGTCCTTCGAAATAAAAGCGTACCTAGGCCGGCAACACACTTGCGAGCCTTCTGGTAGTGTGAGTGTAAAAACTACAAAAAATGTACCTATAACATAGGTCTCAATAAAATCGCTGTACGCTACAGTCTTCCCTTTACTTTGTCTTGTTACGTGTCTCGGATAGCTGTGAACGCGAAATCCGTCCAATGTTTGCAAGTTTCTTAGTAAAGTTAGTTTTTCACTTTTCAAAAAGAATATAACGAAGTGCAATTAAAATAGCTTACAAAATGTTTATAGTATTAAGTACGTATATATGCAGTTCTTTAAGTAAGTGGACCAATTCGACTTAGGGTCCTTCAAGAAAAGAGCATACCAATTCTTAAAACGCCGGCAACGCACTTGCGAGCCTACTGGCAACCTGAGTGTCTATCGGCGGTATCACTTAACATCAGCCTCCTGCCTGTTTGCCTCTTATTACATAAAAAAAAACAATGGTCAAGTGTGGTCTACTTAATACGTAAACCATTATTTTTTTTTTACCATTATTCATTAACTTATGACAATCACAAGTAGGAGTAAACATTCTGCTCCTCAGCATAATGCTGAGCCAGGGCCAATTACAGCCACAGCACACACGAATTGCACACTTGAAACGAACCGAATGGGAAAAGTGATTTTTTTTTAAATATAACTATTTCTCATTTAATTTTTTATTTAATTTTTTTCTTTAATTATTGTTATCTAGTGTGTTTATGTATGTGTGTTTTTGTTTGTAAAAAATGATGTCTATGTCTATTGTCTATGTCAAAGCTAAGTGACATATAAAGAATGTAGGATTCCAATGTAATGTTTAGGTCTTAATCGATTTTGTTTGTGCACTTAATTCAAGAGCAGTATTAGCCATGTAGCTTAGCGCGCGACTCTCATCCCTGAGGTGCACCCCCCGGCAGTGCACCAATGCACTTTCTATGTGCGCATTTAAAACCTCGCTTGTATGAAGGAAAACATGGTGAGAAAACCAGCATGCCTTAAATCCAAAAGGACAAGGGCGTGTATCCGGCACAGGAAGCTGATCACCTAAATGCCTATTAGACTCAAAAATCGTAAACCCAGACCTAAAAACTTTAGTCTGTAGTCTGACTTTAGTCAGTCTTGGTTACTTAGTTGAAATAGATTCACACGCATTAATACATTTTATCTTTTGTTTGAACGTGATTTGAATAAATAACAGTGCCAGATGCTAGGAATATTCAGTAACATTTCACGCATTTAGAGAACCTAATAATAGATTTAAAGGCTATATAAACTACTTGCGGAGGTTGTAAAGGTTTTAAACAACTGGCTTGTTTACAATTATCTCGCAACTTCGTTTCAAGTTCACGCCATTTCCAATATACAAATTATCTATAGCTAGACTATAGATAATAATAGGTAATAATAATAATCTGTATTTCTTCTCTCACATATATGTACAAGGTTATTATGATTAAACTAAGATGATAACATTAGGAAGTGTATGTGAGAGACTGGTCTCTGTAACAGGAGACCTGAGTGACATATAGCCAGCCTCTCCACCACCAAAAAAATAAAAGTTAGATTCAATTGGTAGTGATTAGATTTTGTATTCCTCGTCTTTATGTGATGAAATAAATTTGACTTAAGAAAACAATTTCAGCATAAACAGCTTACGCTATTGATCCAAAGCGTTTCCAGTAGTGATTGTATTTCTATAAATGTCGTTGTCAAGCCCTCGTGTCATTTTGGGCGTGTGGGCATTTTGTGCCACTTGGGGGGTGAAAGGCGAAATCAAAATCAGCTGGATATAATGGAATTTGAGCCTGAAGCTCACCAAATTAGAACCTAATATAAAATCTATGTGCAGCAAGCATCAAGCGAAAAGATCTCACTAAATTAATATAGAAAAATCTTTATTAAAATTATTTTTAATTTGAATTCCAGTTTGCAGTATGTTTTAAAAATTTTCTTACTGTTTCGTTTTGTTGTGATTTTTTCGTAATAACTATTATTTAAATTTCTTAAGTGAACAATTATTTTTTTGAATATACACATGAAGTATGTTACATAGGGTTGGGGGCATAAGAGTTTTAGGTAGGCTAAGGTGGGGCATAGCACAAAAATGGTTAGGAAACACTGGTCTAACCTGGCTAAAATATGAAAAATAAAGTGTTAAAACATGGCTTTATGTATAATAACTTTTAAATAAACAATAACTTATCAGACAATTACAATTGCTGATTTTCATACATCAGTCACATTTTTTTTTACAAATTGACGTACAAACAAAAATATGAAAGCGGTGCCTTCACTACAACATGCGACTACCGAAACATTGTGATAATACAAACAACAATAAAATAAAAACTATAAAAACTATTTGAATCAAGAAGCGGTCACAGATTAATTGAATCATTATCATAATCATATAGCGTGCTTGTCTTCCCCTGTCTAATCCTAATGCTAGTTTAATTTCGTTGGAGACTGATTTTATACAATAAATGTGCTATTTAATACTTTAAAAACATGACAATTAAACGTGATAAACTTGTTAATGTGTTTACAGGCATGGATTAGATGCCATTTTGCCTAGCGTTTTAGCGAGGTATTATGTTTTTAATGTTTAATTTGAAATTATCCAGCCAATACTAAAATAAATAAATAAATCACTGGCGCTAATCAGGCCTGGGTCTCAGATTTTGGTATATGTTTCATGATCATTTGTCAATCTCATAGGCAAGTAGGTGATCAGCCTCCTGAGACACGCAGTCGACTTTTTGGATCTAAGGCAAGCCGGTTGCCTCACGATGTTTTCCTACACTGTACTGTTTTCCGTTCGAGCGAATGTTAAATGCGCAGATAGAAAAGTCCAACCGGCGATCGAGCCAATATTTAACAGAGTTAAAAAATCATTTCGCATAGGTTCTATAATCACTAATAAATAATCTCAAATGGTCTTTAAGTCCATAACAAATAGAACAATACTAGTTAACTACAGAGCTCTTTCTATTCCTGTCACATGCTAGTAACTTGCACACGAGTACAACAGTGAATTTAGGGTATAAAATATGCCGTCTTATTAATCATATTGTACAATATAAAATTATTATATTTCTGTAGCCATATTCATGATGTACTTTAACATTTCTGTTTAAAAACACAAGCTACACCATATTTCAAAGCTGGGGACACGTAAATCATATGACAAACGATGCATCCGATCTTGCTTATTATGAATGGTTGCAATTTCCATTGAGAATTATAGTTACGTGTTTTACCTCGAAGTTTTACGGCATTTCTGTAATGTAAAAAGTAAGGGCGGTGGTACATTGTAAGATTATTGTACGTATATATTCTACAGTATAATTTCAGTTTTACTAAATGTATATTAATAATTGTTAGA